TTTAATTTAATTTTCCCTTTGCAATCCATAGGGTCTACCCGCCTGCTCCCCGGCCAGCCCGGCCGCAAACGACTCCTCTTCCCCTTTCACCTCCCTGCAGGGAAGGGAGGGCTCTGCATGGCAGGGATTGGGGTTTTGGCTGCACCCGCGGTGATGCACCTGCATGGCCCCATGGCTGGCCGCGGGCAAGGGGACATCGCCGGGGGGTTCTCGCAGGGGTGGGGGCAGCTCTGGGGGGAGGAAAGGCCCACGGGCAGGGCCAGGACTGGCATCACGCCCTCGCAGGCCAGAGCCGGGGGTGGTTTTACAGAGGGGTGCCCCACACGACAACCAGAGTATCACAGCAAGCAGAAATTAAATGCCAGAGCAGAAAAACCCTTTTCAAGGCGCTCAGCGCCTGCCTGGAGGTGGGTGTTGGCTGGGCACGGCCCTGTGTCCCCTTTGGCCAGCCGGCTGGTGACACACGGAGCACAGCAGGGTCAGCTACTGCACCCTACGAAAAGATGCTACGCCAGGGACCGAGCCCTGCGGCTTGCACACGCCGCGATGTAGCATTGCTTAAAGCGCTCTCTAGGAACTGTGCCCCCTGGAAGGGCTGTGCCTCCTGCTCTCCTTGGCCCGCGGTGCAGGGTCCGGCCCAGCTGCCGCACTGTTCCGCTGGCATCAGCATCGATGCCCAGCCTCGGCGCTGGCATCTGGACACGACGCAGGCGGCCTGGGCACACGTGCTGCAAGGCAAGGCGGGCAAGCTCCGTGTGAGAGCTCGAGCAGTGAAGGGTGCTGAGAAAGCCAGTGGTACAGCACAAAGCCAGCTGAGATTTGGGGATTTTTGGGTTGTGCACCAGAGAAATGGGGGTGCTGGTAATACAGCTATGGCTCAGGTGCCGTCTGCCCTTGGGACTCACCCATACCCGCCTGGGGCCAAGCAGCCCGGCGATAGCGGGACGGTTAGAGGCAAGGGAAACACTGCTGGGAACAAGAGAAATAAAGTGGTAAGTTAACAGTGCTTCAGCACGGGAGCCAAACGGCTTAAATCCCTGCCCCTGCCCGACCAGGGCAATGCTGCCTTGTAGCACGGTCTTGCTATAGCACCCAGCTCTAGACCACTTAAGCCCCTCTGACCCCTGCATGAGTTGCAGACCCAAAACAGAGGCAGGACTTGGAGGGTTTTGCTTTCTTCACCCCTTTTCAGCCCCTGATGCCTGGCTGGGCTGGAGTCATGGTGGCTCGGAACCGCTGAGGGCAGCAGCTCGCAGTCACTTTGCTCTGCGGAGAGCAGGCAGCACGGCACAGACCTGCCCGCCGGGGCTGCCAGGGCCCTCCAGTGCTGCTTCTCAGCCCAGTCCCGGGGGGACGAGGCTCCAAGCATTTGTGCACTTGACCGAGGCAAAGAAAAGCCCCTTGCCTTCCCCTTCTCCCAAGCTGGCAGTATTTTTGCCTTTTGGGTTTTTTTTTTCTTTAGCAGACAGTTCCCAGTCAGTCATTAAATTAGCACCTTCTCATATATATATAATATATATAATTTATAGAGAAATGACTTTTGTAAACAATATTCTTCTACTCCAGAAGGAAGTGTAGTCCGTGGCATAATGCAGCTACAAACACGTATCTCAAAAAGAGGACCAGCAGCTCCGGGGAGCAGGTGGGAGCCCTGTGCCACCCCCCGCCTCCGCACACGTCCCCAGCGGGACAGTTCTAGGGCGGGGAGGGAACCGGCCGGCTCGGTTTGGGTGTCACCGGTTTCAGCTGAAGCAAACTGGTCCGACTGTGAAACCAAACTGGTGCAAGGCGTCACCGTTGTGAAAGACGGCCAGGTCCCGCAGGGGCAGCAGGGAGAGCTCCTCCGTGGTGAACTGGAAGATGGTGTCAGTGATGGAGGACTCGTTGTCCAGCTGAAATGAGCACCGGGAGCAGCTGAGCGGCACTGAAGGACCCTCTCGAAGCACCCGCTGTCCCCTTCGCTGCTCCGGTTGCTCCTTGATTCACCCAGTAGCCCCGCAGGAGCCAGGTCTCCAGCCCTGCATGGCTTCTCCAGGGAGGTGGCCTCCCCTGTGTCCCCTGGAGCACACCCCGTCCCCTGCCACATCCCAGCCTGCTCCCTAAGACCGGGGCAGCTCCTTGGGCCCGGGGAGAGGATGCTCTCCATCCCCATCCCACCGTCTGAAGCCTCATTCCCCAGGTCTATCCCAAACCCCGGTGATTCAAACACGTGCCGAGGGGCTCTGCAAATGTCGAGGGGCTCTTCCAGGCAGAGAAAAGCGTCCGGCCACGGCCAAGCTTACCACGCAGCCTTGCAGGCTGGCTGCATAGCTCTGCTCCCGGGAGTCGGCCAGGAAGCGGATTTCCTTCTCTGGCTGGGGCTGGCCCTGCTCGGGGGCCGGTCTGCAGGAGTAGGAGACCTTCTGGGTGGCCAGGCGGCTGTGCAGGCGGAGGAAGCGGAGCTGCACCGGGCTGGCCCCTGCGTATTCCAGCTGCAGGGGCAACGAGAGAGAAAAGCGGGTAGTGGGGGCTGCTTGGAGGGGTCTGTGTCGAAAACTGGGCAGGATTCAGCTCTCTGCTAAAGCACCGGTTTGGATTTTCTTGCAGAGGGAGATGTTGTGTCCCACTTCCCACTGCAGCGGGACAGGCACTAGGAGACCCCCAACCCCATGAGATGGGCTTCTGTCCCCTCAGCTGTCCCGGCCGGGTACCCACCAGGAAGCCCCCGGGCAGGGCGCTGAACCATTCGAAGGTGTCCTCAGAGGCGTAGGTGCTCAGCCAAGCCTTGATGGGGACCTGCAGGGAGGGGGGAACCATGTCATGCTGTCCCAGCGGGGGACGGTGGCACCAGAAGGACAAGGATCCAGCCATACCAGCCTATGTGCATGACTTGTCCCTGAAGCCCGGTCACACGCTGTGACCAGGATCCTCACCCCAAACTGCTCCAACAGCTCCCTGTGACGGCAGCGGTCACCACGGCAAGGGACCGGCCACACTGTCCCTCTCCAGCCACGCCAACCCCCTATCCTCGCCCATCCTGAGCAGTAATGCAGGGCTGGAGGTGCCCCACGAAAGCCACCCCATACCTGGTTGTGGACGGGGGCTATGCAGGTCTCTCCCCCTGCCGTGAAGTTGCAGAAGGCCACCAGTGCATCCTGGGGGCTGCCCTGGTTGGGGTCAATGTAGTATTGCCCTGGAGGGAGGCAGAGGGGAGCTCCTGGCACCCGGTTTTCGGCACAGGGACCGTGCCACGTGGTGCCATCCCAGCTCAGCTCGTGGCACATCCCCGGCTGCAACCTCCATCCTCCTGGAATGCAGCCTGGCTGCCATCCTGTTGCTCCAGGGATGCCCATGAAACCCAGCTGAGCTCATCCCCCAAATCCTCATCCCTTCTTAATTGCAAAGACCTGCCCGTCCCCCTGTGTTGGCCCTGGATCTGGCCAGCCCTCCCCACGCCGGGACAGAGGGCTGGCTGGATCTGGGTCTGATGTGGGGGGACCCCTTGTGCACCCCAGTACCGTCAGGCAGGCTGGGGTGAGCCAGCAGCAGCTCCTTGCAGGTGGCTGCCGGGTTGGTTTTGGTGCCGTTGGGATGCTCGACGAGGGCTTGCAGCTCCTGTCTCAGGGTGTCCAGCAGAGCCCAGACCACAGTGTAATTCAGGTGGTTGGAGGGATAAATTAGGTGCTGAAAGAGAAAGCGGGGGATATAACCTAGCTGGCATTAGCCCCCCCTCTTATTTTGGCCAGGAGCATCACCAGGTGCTCAAGGATGGGATGGGACATGCAGGGGACAGGGACAAGCATGATGGGAGAGGGATTAACCATCTCTGCTTGCTCTTTGTGCAAGGACCTTGGTACTTGTAGACAGAGGACCTCAGGAGCAGTGGGACATGGGACAGCATCACTGTCAGCCCCTTCCCCCCAGGGTGGCACCCGCCAAAGCGGGGATGGAAACCCCTCGCCCCCACGCAGCATCGCCTCTCCAATGCACTCACCTGCATCTCCTCCCTGGACAGCATCAGCGTGGGTCCGCTGGGACCAGGGGGGCCGGTGAGACCCTGGGTGGCAATGACAATGCTGGTGACGCTGGCTGCTGCCCATGAGCCCCCCGCCACGCTCGCAGCTCCTCCAATGGCGCCAGCAGCCAGCCATCCCCGTGGCATGGCATGGTAGGACCTCACTGCCAAATTTGGGGGAGCAAAGGACACAAATTTTGGCATGAGGGACATTAGTGGCTCCGCTTACCGGCAGGCCCGGCGTGCCCCTGGGTCCCAGCAGCCCTGGGAGGCCTTTCAGCCCCTGCCGAAGGAGAGAAGCAAAGCAAGGTGGCGAGATGCTGCTGTGCCAAGCAGCACCCGGGGTGCCCCATGGGGCCACCCTGCACCCCAGGGAGAGGACAGGAGGGGAGGGTGCCCCGCAGCAGGGCTGAGCCCGGCTCCAGGCTCTCCCCCCTACTTACTTTGGGTCCGGACAAGCCCTGGAAGAGAAGGACAAGACCCAGCTAAGAGGGATGCGGGTGGGATCGAAGCCGCATCCCAGCATAGCTCCTGCGGGACCAGGAGTGAACCCCAAACCTGCCAGGAGGGAGAAGGACTCACCGGCATCCCGGGGAAGCCGGGGTGTCCCCGTGGGCCGGGGGGGCCAATGTTACCCTGCAAAGACACCGGAGGAGGTCAGGGTGCTGCACGGGGCATCCCCCAGCCCTATGTCCTTCTACAAGCCAGCCCCTTCCCCAGGTGGATTTTGCATGGAAAGATGAGGAATTCACCCCAAATACTCATCTTGGTTCCTCCCATTCCCCTCCACCCTGCCCTTACCTGCTGTCCCTTGGGTCCCGGACTCCCGGGGATGCCATGGGGTCCTGGCTTGCCCTAGGAGATGTGGCAGGGTGTCACACAGGATGACAAGGGACCAAGGGGAGGGAGGAAAAGAGCAAAACCCTTCACGCACCTTGAAGCCATCGTCCCCTTGCTGGCCCAGGTTGCCCATGCTGCCCTTCTCGCCCTAGGAGAGAGTCAGGGAAAGATTTGGTGGCAAAGAGGAGGGTAGAAACTCCCCCGGGACACCCGCCGGGGGGGGGGGGGGGGGGGGGGGGGGGGGCTCTGCCCCAGTGGGTGGACATCAGGAACCCTGCTCTCGTTACTCCATCAGTGGTATTTCATCAGGTAGGCAACAGAGGTTTTGTTTGCTGCCTGGCCCTGGCAGGAGATACCTGTCTGGGGACATTTCCCCAGGCCAAACATCTCCTGGCCTCCAGCAAGCGGCTGGAAATGGGAAACTCCCAGTTACGGCTGGCCGCAAAATTTCTGAAAAAAACCCCTTTTGATTTGGTAGAACTACTGTACCCGTATTGCTGGGGACGGAGGAGGCGTGATGGAGCGTCTGCCTCCCCTGCTCAGCTGCAAAGGCAAACTGAAAGTATTTTATCCCAGACTAAAATAACATTCAAGAAAACCTGGAAGTTCCCAGGAAACACTTTGAGAAAATAAAGAAGATTTCTTGTGTGCTGAGACCTGGCGGAGCAGGGGAAGAAACCTCAGCACAGCAGCTGCCTGCAGCCTCCCCTCTGCCTGTTCTCCCAGGCTCTGGCCTTGCTGAACGCCCTGGACTTTAGCTTCTGCCATTGCTCATTTAGCTTGCAATAAATTTAAAGCTTTATTTATTACCGGGGTTTCATTTTCCTGAAGGATGCGAGCAACTACCCGCCGCCAGGGACTGCTTGTCACTCTTATTTACAGCCTTGTGGCTGACAGATGGGACCATGAGGACGTGCTTGGCTTCTCAGGCCAAGGTTGGATCCATTAGCTCATCAGTAATGGCACAGAGGAGGTACGCGCCTGTGCTGTGTCAGCGTCAACGCTGAAAGCAGGGGATTAAAAGACCGTACACGCTGCTGCTTGCAACTCCAGGAGGATGGAGAGGCTGGAAAAGGACCTGGTTTTGGAGAAAGTCTAAAGGTCCCATCTCCCAGCGCCTGGGGACACAGTGGTCAACCCCCACCGAAGGATGCTGCAGCGATCAGGGTTCAAGAAGAGGGGAATAAGTGATTGCACCCAGCAAATTAAATGCTACCCTGTGCCCGCAGTCCCCGCTGTGCCCGGGGCTCAAGCGCCCGGTGCATGTCCCCTACCTTGTGTCCTTTTGGTCCAGGGTCTCCTTTCACGCCCTTCAGCCCTGGGATGCCCTAAGAGAGAAGCAATGCGGTACCGCATCACCCTGAGGCTGAGCTGCTCCCGTCAGCTCCCGGGCAAGGAGGGACCTCGCCACAACCTAGGTTGCTGCAAGGATTCTGAGAATTTCAGGCAGTTTTAGAAACTTTGAGTCATTTCTCATCAGATCTTTGATTTTTGCTTTCAGGAGGATCCCTCAGCAAACCCCGTTAAAAATGCAGTTCAGGTCCCCTGGCTGATTGCACAACGTCCCGGCTTTGTTTTGTGAAGTTTCCAAAGCCGGGTTATTTATTTTAAATAGAGAAAAAAAACATTTCCAGTAATTAAAACAAATATTTGAGTAGGTTTTTTTGGCCAATGCCAGCTGCTGCAGTGCAGCCGGTCCCTCCAGCCATGGCAGTTCTCTGGGAACGTGGGGACAGTCCTCTGCAAGCGCTCAGCACTGCCAGGCATCAGACACTTAACTGGAAGGGAATTATTTGGCCTCTAGAACAACATATTGGAAATTATGTGATTTGCCTGACTGCACGTGCGCTGCTGGGATGCTAATTTGGGAGGAGAAGGCAAGATGAGATGGATGAACGACAGATGGATGAAACACCTAGGAACTTCAGTCGTTTTAAATGGGTCTCTGCTTTGGTGGTTCACAGAGGTGGGTTGCACAGTGGTACCTGCGGGGGCCAAACGGGGAGCACCGGCACCCCGAAACCTTTGAGCTAATACTCACATAGGGTCCTTGGGGGCCCTGGGGTCCTTCTGGCCCCTCGTCGCCTGGGTAGCCCTGAAATGCAAAAGCGAGAGACCCTGGCTGGTGGGCACAGCGGTGCGGTGCGAGAGCAAGGCAGGAGTGATGCCCCAGTGCCTCTTGCAGGGAGAGCAGCCCATGGGGGCTGGGGGTGGAGGAGACACCCTCCTTGGGCTGGAAGGGACAGGGGACACAGAGCCCTCCAGCTATGCAATGCTCCTATATTGGCTTATCCTTTTCTAAGCTGGGGGCTCGGGCAGGTGGGAGCACCCCCCCGGCTTGGGAGCACCCCTGAGCTGCCAGGGTGCCAAAGCAGCCCTCGCCTCAGCGGGGCAAAGCCGACCTACCTTGGGTCCCCGGGGGCCTCTTGGGGGCCGGTGGCCCACCTTGCCTCGCTTGCCCTGGGAAGAACAGATTAAAGACTCACGAGCAATTCAAGCCTGTCAAAGGCACTAAGCCGGCCGCCCCGCGTCCCCCTTGCTGCCTGCCCAGGGATGCTGAGCCCCCAGCAAACCGGGGACCCTCTGCAAGACCTCTGCGGGCTCCAAGCAGCAGTCCCATGCTTCCCACCACCCTCCATGGGGACAACGGTGCAATTTACCCGTCTGCCAGTTTCTCCGGGAACCCCTTCTTCCCCTTCACTCCCCACATCGCCCTGGGGGAAGAAGAGATGGGAGACGTGTCACCAGCAGCCCAGCCACATCCCGGACCAGGACTGGGGAAAAGGGGCTGCTGCCTGCATGGAGATGGGGACAGAGCTCACCAGGTGCTGTAGGAACCTGGAGATGGACACCAAGGCCATGGTGCAGAGCTGGCCAGTGAAGGGGAGGACCCTGTCCCCCCTCCAAGGGCACCTGAGCCAGGATGGAGGCAGCCCTGTGGGGCTGGGGGGGCTGAGCTGGGGAGACCTGCCAGCCCCTCACTCGAAAACCAGCCAAGGCAGCCCAAGGGCATCTAAGAGCTCTGTGTTTGCCAAGCACCGATGCGCGGTTGCCTTGACAGCGGGGAGAAATGGGCCCCCTGGGGCGATTCCCCCTGGTTTCTCTCCATGGACCACAACATGGTTGACCAGCTCAGGCTCGGCCACCCCATGCCCAATGGCCGGTCCCCCTCGGGTGCCATCTGCAGAGGAGGATTTTGGAGGTACCTTTTCTCCTTTGCGACCTTTCCGCCCTTTAGGACCGGCTTGTCCTGGAGACCCCTAAAATCCCAAAGGAGAAGGAAACCCCTCCGTAAGGATGCTGCGCCAGGGATGTCCCCTCCCGGCCTCCCTCCCTGCTCTCGCCACAGCGTGCACAGGAGGATGCTCTAAGCTGAAGTGTCCATTTGAGATTTTTGCCCCTCTCTGGAGCAGGCTGGGCAGAGTGGGGCTGCGGGAGTTTCAGCGGGAGCAGGAGATGCTGCCCGTGTGGGACCTCACCGCAGACGGGAGATCCCAGCATCCCACTGCCTGTGCCAGGGAGAACCAGTATGGCTCCATCCCACACCTCACCGTTTGCCCCGGTTTTCCCGGCTTGCCCAGCTCCCCTTTCACACCCGCCAGGCCCTAGGAAGGAAAACAAAAATCAACCCAACTCCGAAAAGTAAGCTCCAGGGTTGTTCACCCAAATCATGCAGAAAAGCCAGAGGCGGAGAAGTGGGGCAGCAGAGGAGCCCACTCACCTCGGTGCCGCTCAGCCCTGTGGCTCCAGCTTCACCCGGTGGCCCGAGAGGACCCTGAGTTCATTTGGGGACAAAACAGGAGACTGGCATCAGCTCCGGGTTACTCGGGGGAAGGCAGGAGGGTGAGTATGGAGCCAGCTGCTTTGCACCAGAGCTATGCTGGGTTGGGCCACCCTGCAGGGATGTCCCCTGCCCATCCCTGTGGCAGAGAGAGCAGTTACCTGCTGGCCTGGCTCTCCCTTGGCACCCGCTGCTCCTCTGGCTCCTGCGCACCCCGTGTAGCCCCGGAGCCCGGGGACACCCGCCAGTCCCCAGGCACCCACTGCGCCCTGCAGTGCACACAGACAGGGGCACCAATTACACCCCACCCCAACCCCATCTGGAGCAGGGTCCGAGCAGCCGCCCCTTGAGGGGCTTCAACTACACTGAGTGATGGCTCTCGCTGCCTGCTTTGCAAATCCCCCCAGAGTTTATTCCGCATCCCGACCTCTCCCAGCAAAGGCAAACGCCTGATTTAAGGACATGTCTTGCCTGGGCAGGCCGGCACTGCAACATGGGAAAGCTGGGATGCAAATGGCATTTATCCTGCAGCCAAGCGCAGGGCATCGGTAACACATCTGTGGCTCTGTGCATGTCAGGGCCACGACCATAAAATGCATCTCAGGGCAGCGCAAATGCCTCTGAGCACAGGGCGGTTCCTGGAGCCCTCTGACCTTACGGACACCTGCGGGTTTGCTCTGTGAGAGCAGAAGACGGGGAAGCCAAATGCCCTGGACCTGCTTCAGGCAGACTCCGACAGCCGAGTGTTAATTGCACAACAGCCACGGCACTTTTGCATGGTTTTTAATAGCTGTATTAAAATGCCTTTAAGGAGCTTTGGTTTTAGGGAAACCAGGAAAAAGATGACTCGGTTACAAAGCCATTGCAGGGCAGGACCCAGGAGACTCAGCCCGGCATTCGGGCTGGCAGAGCTCGCTTTGCGGCCACCCCCCGGGTGACACACAGCCCCAGCCCGTGCAGGGACAGGCTCTGCTACTTCATCAGAAGATGCCACCAAACCTCTTTCCCAGGGAGGTTTTGCAGGGGCAGGGCCGGTACTCACCGCCGAACCGGGCTTGCCGCTGTCTCCCTTGACTCCATCATCTCCAGCGAGTCCCTGCGGTGACGTTGGGGATTTAGAATAAGCCCATCACCACCACGTGCTTTGTGCTCAGGCCCTCTGCAAGTATTTTAAGCACTCCCTCCCTCGCACCACGTTCAGCTGGCCACGGCACGTGCCCAGGCAGTGCCCAGGCACTGTGTGGGAGTGAACATGATGCGATAGCAGAACGGGTCTTCCACAAGGCATCCCTGGGTGCCAGACTGAAATGGTTTGATTTTTGGGGCTGGGGGCATGTAAGTACCTCCTGGGAGTCAGTGCCAAGATGCGAGGCATTAAAAACACCTCCTCACTCCTGAGCCCCCTGGCCTGGGCAGTTAAGGGGCAATAAATCCTTTGGGCTTTGGTTTGTGTTGGAAACCGTGAAGCACTGGTAAAGCCTTTGAGAGCTCCTAGCTCTAGAAGATCCCAGGCACCAGTACCTCTAATCCAGTAGCACCAGTGGGTCCGTCCATGCCTCGTGGCCCTGGATCTCCCTGGGGAAGAAGGGGAAACAGCTCTGTCCCCAGCAAACCCCTTCCTTGCCTTGTTGACTTTGGATCTCAGGCAAGGAGGCAGGGAGTGTGCCATGGCAGGTCCTCCAGGTCACCAGCCTGCCCAGGTCTGACCCAGCTCCTCCACCACAGCCAGCCCCACCATGTGCCCCATCAGCCAGAGGCAGAAAGCAGAGCTTGGGAAAAGACCAGAAAAAGGCATTTCACCCAGAGATGAAGGGTTGGAGCCATCACCCCACCGTACCTTCGCTCCCTCGGGACCGTCGAGCCCAGGAGGACCTCGGAGACCCGTCCCACCCTGTTCAGGGCACAAGCAAAGGAGCCCCATTGATTCAACCCTGCCCAGTGCTCCCAGTCACAGCCACGTCCCCCTGCCTGCCACGCCAGGTCCGTGATCAGCCGAAATGGGAAGAGGGACACAAGCTGACTTACAAGCCGTCCTCTGGCTCCAGCAGGTCCTGCAGCTCCGGTGACACCGACCTGGCCCTGGGACACAGAGGGAGACGTGCTCAGCAGGGTCCCAGCCCGGCCCGGGGGTAGGAGGCTGGAGTTTGGCTGGAGGCAGCATTAACCCGGACTGCCCGGCAAGTCCAAACTGTCCCTTTGTGCCAACAAGACCCAATTTTGGTGTCATGCCCATGAGACACGAAACTCCCTAATTAAGGAGATTTACTAATTCCTAGTATTTTCTGCAGCTCCTGAAGCCCAAGGTTTCCCGCCGGGGGTGAGCCCCGCTCCTTGGCACCCAGCACCCAATGGCCAGCCTGCGGGGATGCCGGGAGCCCGGTGGGCTGAGGCAGCCCCTCTCTGTACTTGCCAGCAAACCTTCTTGGCCCTTCTCTCCTTTATGGCCTTTTTCTCCAATTTCCCCCGTAGCAGCTCCTGGGCCAGGCGCTCCAGGAAGGCCCCTGGGGCCAGCATCACCCTGCTCAGGGATGGAGACAGAGGTGTCACCGGAGAGAGGAAAAAGGAATAGCAATTAAATGAGTTTCTGCATGGAGATGACATGTTTCACCCTCTCACTGGGTGCCACGGACAGGAGAAGTTCACCCTAGGGTGCTCAGGAGAGGTGCTGATGCCAGGTCTGAGCCCCGCATCTTCAACGGTCCTCAGCCACGGGGACACCCCTGTCCTGCTTCTGCCCCCACCACGCCAAACTGAGCAATGGAGGCTGAGCAGGCTATGGATGTCCCCAAGGTGCTGCAAGGAGGGACAGAGTTAGAGGCACTCCTCACCTTCTGTCCCTGTGGTCCTGGCTCGCCCGGGGCTCCAGCATCACCAGCGTCACCCTGCCCAGAGGGGAAATATCAGCATCAGATGCAGCAGCTGCTCTCCAGCCCCATCCCAGGAGGGGTTAAAAGCCGAGCTCTGACTTCCCCACCCTCCTCTGGCTGGGATTTTGGTGCTGGGTAAGAGATGGCCCCACAGCTTCGCCTGCACGGGGAGGTCACCCCCAGCCGTGACCCATGCTAGCCCAAAAGCGAGTGAGGACAAACTGTGGAGCACAGACAAGCAGCAACTCCCCCAGCAAGGGGACCCCAAAGCATCAGCCCCCTCCTTCCATGGGGGCACCTCAGCCTGTCTGTGGCCAAGCCAGTGCGCTGGGTGGCACACCTTTCCTGTCCCCATCCCATCCCCACCCCCTGGCAGAGGACGCCGGTGGGCAGCAGTGACCACCGTGGTGTCAGCCAGCACACATACCTCCTTTCCTTGCTCCCCGGACCTCCCCAGTGGCCCCTCTGGCCCATCGTCCCCTGGCTCCCCGGGGCCCCCTCTGATGCCCGGAGCTCCGCAGGTTCCTGCCTCTCCCTGGACAGGACAAAGATGAACAGGATTATTCTTGGCTGACTTTTCCAGCTGACCCTGGCTCTGCCCTCCATCATTTCTCACCATCAGCAGCCCCGGTTTTCCTTGTACCAGGTACCAAAGCTTTAAGGGGATCTGGACCCTCCTACCACACCCAGCAACATAAATCTCCAGGCATGAGGATGCCTGGGGGGGGGATTTCAAAAAGCCCCATGTGGATTTAGGTGCCTGGCTGCACCTACAGCAGCGGGGCCAGGCGAGCCCAGCGCTGCCGGAGGTATCACCCCCAGCACCCAGCGGGAACCGACCTGCTCGCCTTTGGGCCCCGGCTGACCCTCTGCTCCCGGCGGTCCCGGTGGTCCCTGGGGAGGAAACACACAGCCCAGCCCTAGCACAGCTCATTTATACCACACTGCCCAAAACCTTCGGCTCAGGTAACGTGGACACAGCTTTAACCTTCTGGATTACTTAAGGATCAACAACCACCTCCCTTCCCATCCCTGGAGAAGGCACGCAGGAGGAGGCAGGCTGGAGCAGCCCCAGCTGAGGGAAGGACAGGGTTCCCCAGCTGACGTACCTGCTCGCCATCCAGCCCGCCGATGCCGACTTCCCCAGGATCTCCCGCATCACCCTGCCGGAGGACACACAGACATTAGGACAGGCAGCCGTGGTGGTCCTCCACGCAGGTCCTCTGCACACCCCGCTGCCCCGGCCCCTGCAGGAGGGTTTCCAAGGCTCTTTTCCCACCTCGCACCAGACACATAAATCCCCATCCCACTGGGCAAAGCCAGTGGCCAAAGTGGGAGGCGTGCTTGCACCTACAGCCCAGGGGAGGAAAACCCCGCTTTGGGCAAGCAGAGTGACCCCAAGGCTCTGCCTGCCTGGGCCGCTCAAGACTCGCCTTCTCTGTCCTTACCTTCTCTCCTCTCATCCCCGAAGGCCCTTCAGGTCCGTTTGGACCTTCCCGCCCCTGAAAACAAACAGGCTATATCAGCAGCAAGGCATTGCACTAACTCAGGAGGCCTTCTCAGCTCCTGAGCGTGGGTGGCAGGGGCTGGGGGGCCCCAGCACACCACGTCCCCACAGGCAGAGAAACCACTCGCAGCTTCTCAAGCCCCTTGCACCAGCTTCCCTTTTTCTTCTCTTCTTGCAGGTGCTTTTGGGAGCTCTCTTAAAAGTGTTGCACCAGCAAAATTGTTGCACTGGGTCCTACCGGTGGAGAGCAAATGGCTGAGGCAGGAGGTTGTGTTGTGCATCAACTGAAGGAGCCACATCTGCACTCACCGGGTACCCAGGTGGGCCAGCAGCACCAGCCGCTCCAGGAGCCCCCGTTTCTCCTGCTGAGCCAGGCTTCCCGGGGATGCCGTCCAGCCCCTGTGTGCCCGGAACGCCCTGCAAGGCCAAAAGGCCACTTAGGCACTCCAAAATGCAGCGTGGGGTGCAGCTCCAGGGAGGACAATGCCAGCAGGAGCCCTGTGCCTGAATCAGTTGGGCCACCACGGGGTCTGCAAGGTACTAGCTGTGCCTGGGGGGTCCCAGTGCCTCATCACTGCGGGTGCAGGAGGGCACTGCTGTCCCCATACCCGACTTGTCACCACCCAGCTACCCATGCAGAGTTTGGGTCATTCTCTGCCCCACGACCAGCCCGGGGACGAAGCTGCCTCCAGAGTGGGCACCTATCTTTCATCCCAGCAGACATCACCCAACTTCAGCCTACAGAGCATCTCTACACGCTACAGCTCTCCCACTTACAGGCAGCCCTGGAAGCCCTCGAGGACCTGGGTCTCCCGCTCTGCCCTGAAACAAGAAGGATGCTCAGCAGCGTGATCATGGCAAGGAGGCACAGAGAACCCCGAGCAGGGTGAGGCTTCGCTTGGACAATCCCCATGCGCCTGGGCCACCTCAACGGTGTCCATGCAGTATCAGGACGAAACCCTGCCAGCAACAAGCAGGACCAGGGTCCTGCCTGCTTCCACAAAGGGGTCTGGGATCCATGCTGCTAATGCTATAGGTAGCACACGGTATGTATTGCAGAGTATTGCACATCGCAGGGGAATGCAGCAAAGGGAGCGGAGCAAGCCAGGCACACAGGGAGCATGGCAAGCCCTACCTGGAAGCCGGGAGCGCCTCGTGGACCAGGGGGACCTGGCAGGGCCTGGGGGAGGAGAGCATCATCAGAGCCCCGCGCCGCAGCCCTGACTGGTCCCCTCTCCCCAGTTTAGCCCCTTGATGCTGGTGGCAAAGATTTCCCATTTTCCCATACCCAGCCCAGCAAAGGCGACTTGCTCAGTGCTTCTCCGGGGGGAGCTGGAGCTGCCCAGCACAGCAGCAAACAGCACTCACCTTGGGACCAGCTTTTCCTGGAAATCCCGGTGGGCCTTGGGCTCCTGTTTCTCCCTGTTAGGAGGCAAGAAAGATTTGCTTTCCAATGTATGTTTTAATGCAGCAACCTCTTAAGGAAAAAAAACCCAAACAAACCCAACAAAAAACCAGCTGCCTGGCATCATATAACAAGCCACAGGAGTTTGGGCAGATGAAGTGCTGGAGAACCACCGGTTCGCCCAACATAGGAGCCAGCTCCAGCCGTTCTCCTCCTGCCACCCCTGCAACCTCCCTGGCATGGCTGATGGAGACCGTTTGTGGACACCACCCAAACCCATCCATTGGGTTCAAGAGCCCAACCCAAAAATGTTTTGGAAGCCTGGGTTCGCATCCCAGCGCATCCCCTCACTGCTGTGCTGGATTTCCCAGCCCTACCTTGTCTCCCCTGCGCCCTGGCCTCCCACGGTCGCCAGCAGGTCCCGGGTAGCCCTGGGGAGAGCACGGTGTTAGGAGGCAGCCGGGGCCGCCTGGCATCTCCGAGGTTTTGGGAGAAGGCGGCTGCTCTCGCCTGGGGAAGTGCAGGACCCTGGGCACAGCAGGAGCCCTGGCAGGATGGCGAGTGCCTGGCTGGAGGCAGCGCTGCTCCAGCGAGCGTCCCCCCACCCCCACTGCTGCCTGCACGCAGGCGGGCAGGCAGCACCGTACCCCCCTCCACGGGCAGGTCTATCACTTACATAGGTACCGACAGGTCCTTGCGGTCCCTCCGAGCCAGGCTTCCCAGGCAGGCCCTGCCAGGCAAAACGAGGGCGTTAACGAACCTCCGCTCCCGGGATGCAGGCAGGCATCTTCCTGTCCTTGGTGTCCACGTCTGAACCCACGGGATCCCCCCCCAGGTTTCCCCATGGCAGCCAAGAGCCTCTCAGGGCTGTTCACCACCATCACTGCTCCAACCAGCCCCCCCGTCATGCTTATGGCCCCCCAAAACCCCAGCTCTCACCTTTGGGCCCAGGGAACCCAGGTCTCCGTCAGGTCCAGGTTTTCCCAGAGAGCCCTTTGGAAATATTTGGGGAAAAGGCGTCAGTCAAAAGGCTGAGATGAGACAAGCCCCGCTGAGCCACAGCTGCTGCCTCTGTGCTCACAGACAGGCATCACCTGGTCCAAACTGGGTTGCTGGGGATAAACTCCGCCACCGTGGCCCATCCTGGTGGCTCCTGCACACCAGCACCCCATGGCTGGCTCTCCGGCAGGGTTGTCACCGGGGGAGGTGACGATACTCGCTCTTGGGCTCATCACCAAACCCAGCTGAGAGCAGGCTCTTCAGGGAGGAGCTCTTCCAGCTGCAGGAGCTGCTCTGGGTCTCCATCCCAGTGGGCAAGGATGTGGGACTGTCCTCCCTGAACCTGTACCACCCGTTTCCACCTGGGATGGAGCAAATGCTTTGATTCCCTCCCAGGACCCAGGGCCACGCTGCTATTCAGCCACCCAGGTGTGAAGGGTTTCCACGGGCTGCCGTCCCCCATGGAGACCCCGCTAGGCTCGGGGAAGCTGCAAAGTCCCTCGGGCAGGCTGATTCCCTGGGGAAATTATTCTGTTCTTTCCTAGCCCCAGCTATTTCTGCCACTGAGGCTTTTTTGTCATTTAACAAGAAGTTAAGATCAGGTCCTACAGATGCCCTGATCCCCTGCCAGTTCCCAACGTGGGAAAGTCCCATATCCCCCACCAGCCAGCCCTGCTGACTTCCCACCTAAGAAAAGGCAGAGTTCCTGCAGAAAGAACACTTGTTTTCCTTACTATCGATCCAGGAGGTCCTGCGTGCCCGCGGCCCCCCTGCAAGCCGGCAAAACCCTGGAGGAAAGGGCAGAAGATGAGTGATGGGGGGAAGGCTGAAGCAGGAGGGATGGAGAGGCTCTCCCCTGGCAGTGTGTGGTCCGAGACCAACCCAAAGCAGAGTGCAGCACCGGGGGCCAGACGCAGACAAATGCCTCAGCCTGTTGAAGGCAGCGCTGGTGCTTTCCACTTCAAACCAGCTCTTTGGTTTCTCGTTGTTGAAGCACCGCGGCTGTGTGTGTACACGCACACAACGCCCACACGTGCATCTAGACAGCGCTGTGCAATGCTAACAGCAAACTCAGCGGTGCGTCTCTTTGACCCACAGCACAACTTTTTTCATATTTTGTTTTGAGGAAAGTGCCAGATTTTTTTTTCTTTTGTTTGCATTTCAGAGCAAAGATAAACAAATATTAGAAATCCTGCAGAAAGGAAAACTTGCTGCCAGGCCAGGTCTGTGCCAGGGATGAGAAATCATTTTGCAAGAGTCAGTTCTTAAACGCACTGCCCCGTTCCCTCTCCTTCACCCTTCAGCACGATTCTCAGCAGGTCCCTGCCTGCAGCCGCACCCAGAGGAGCACCCTCCGGCTGGTCTTGCTCCATCAGGGCCACCCACCACCTGCGCCCCATCCCATGGACGTGCTTTTGAGGCACATCCCCAAGGGGAGTGAGCTGAGCAGAGGGGAGGAAGGACAGAAATCAGACAGCTGTGCAGCTCTACTCACCGGTGTTCCCCTCCTGCCTGGGCTGCCCACAGCCCCTGGGGGACCCTGCAGGACAAGGCAGGTGACGATGAGGATGGGGAGGCAGAGGCAGCCTCTCCCAGTCTCACCGTGCCAGCCCAGAGCCAGCTGATGCACATCATGGCAAGGTCCAACATGGTGTCAAGGTCTTGACCCACATGGCCATGGATGGGGGGGTTGGTAAGTCTGCCCCCACCGGGCTCAGCTCCCCCTCTCAATACAACCCACCGCCCCAGCCCTCGCCCGCAGTCAAGTACAGAGTGTAGGATGGGAACCTGTGTACCAGGCTTTCCTTCTGCGCCTTCTGCTCCCGGGATGCCCCGCGAGCCCTGAAAGGAGAGTCTCGTCTCAGGAAAGCAGAGCCCGGTGGCAGGGTGCCCCCATCGAGGGCTCATCCAGCCCCAGAGCCTCCCTCCAGTATTAAAAGGTGGCAAATCAGTGGTGGTGTGGTCCCCAGGGTGCTCGTCTGGACTGTATTGGGACATGGGTTAGTTAGTACGTGGCTCATCCCCGCACAGCTCCTGCAACTCCTCCCTGCTCCATCCCACCTTTGGATGCGATCGCTGGGAAATAACATGAATGTGGGAGGGAACCCGTTCCCACTGTGAACATCTCGACCATGTTTTTTCCCCTCTTGCCCCAGCTATTTATTCCTGGCTCCTTCACCAAACACGACTGAATAACAGAGTTTTCTTAAAAAGTTGTTATTTCCTGAATTTTCTATGCTCAGGGTTAAGAGGGAAGTTGTGGTGTTGGGCAGGTGGCTTGTCAAAACACTTCATGCAATGTGCAAAAGCCTGAGCTGCTCATCTCCAACTTATCCTGTGCAAATTCCCAAGCAGATCCCAACCCTCTGATCCGGCCGCATCCCAGGATACGCTGCTCCCCGAGAGCTGGCTTCCCTGTCCCAGCGCTGATGGCACCACGCGCCAGCACAGGGACATGGGTCATCTGCTACTTACGGGCAGCCCAGGGACTCCAACCAGCCCACGCTGACCCACGCGGCCCTGGAAAACAGGAAGCATTAAGAAAAGCATCCTTCTGCCAGCAATAAAGCTGCAGATTTGGAGGCAAAGCTAGCGCCCAAAGATGCCACGGCTCAGCCCCAGCACATCCCAAGCCACCCAGTGAGGGGTCTCCAGGGTTGTTTCAATCTCCCACAGCCAAAGAAGCTCCAAGATTCAGCTGCGAGTACCAGCCCCCCATTAGTTACCCGGGCTCCCCGTGGTCCTGGGGTTCCCTTCGGGCCATCAGGTCCTCGGCCTCCCTAAAATTCACACAAAGGGGAACACAGTCATTTTAGGCCACCCCGCAGGTCTCCCCCAGCCCCTCCACCCCGGTGAGCACCGAGGGGACTCATCCAGCCACCACCGCGTCGGCAGGTCGGCACATGGCCGTAGCGGGTGCAGGGATGCCATGCACGGGGTGGGGGGCCAAGAGGCTGGGGATCCTCCCTGGGGGGGCATCGTAATGCTGTCCCCTGGGTGCTGGGACCCACGCTGGAGGCCCCGGGCAGGGTGGCTGCATCCCTGCCCCTCCGCACGAGGACAAGGGCAGCCTGTGGGGAACCAGGGGACACAGCAGCAAATGCCAGCGCTGACCTTGGATCCCTCGCTGCTGTTCAGCCCCGCCGGGCCGATCTGGCCTTCTTCCCCCTGCCAGGAGAGAGGAGAGGAGTCGGCCAGGGCAAAGGCAGCCTCTGATCCTCTGCCTGCTCCCCCAGCCACGCAGCCACCGTCCCCCTGCCTTGTGTAAGGGAGAAACACAGGGAACATGGCCGGAGGTAACATTAATTAAATGGCAATGTGACCTGGGGCACCAGCCGACCTTTGGGGTGGGGATGGGGGTCGTCCCCCATCCCTCAGGTTTATAAAACTGGCCAGAGAAAAAAAGCTCAATGGATTCAGTGTTGGCCCAAAGGAGCACAGTTGAGTATTTTCATTTCCTGCTGATCAAATTAAAGGCAATTCAAAGGACTGGTGTGCCGAGGCTCCTGCCTCCTCCGTTACAGCCCCAGCAGGGCAGGCACAGCGCTGCTTGGTTGGGTGGAAAAGGCACCGCCGGCAACGAGATGAGTCGTGTTGCATCTCCATCTCTTGGAGAGGTGGGAGGATTCGTTTCTCATCCTGAAGAGTGAATGTGAGAGCAGATCCAGACAGGCATCCCAAAAGCCCTCCGAGAGGGAGGGCATCACACGTGGGGGGATGCTGCAGCCCAGAAAGGTGGGTGGGAAAATATAATCCCCACTTCTCCTTCTCCTGAGAAGCTGGAAACCACTAGAGATAAGCAGCCAGCCTGGCTTCAGCTCCCAGGTAGAAAAATTGATCTGCAGCTGGGTTTGTCCATCCTGACAGCTCACTCAGAGCAGACACTGCAGGAAAAAGCACTCTAAAAATCGTGCCTTTTTTCTGTGGCTCGGCGCTTGGGAGCTGGCGAGGGTCGGGGCCGGGCAGTATGGCTGGTGAGAAGCAGGGCAGCCGGCTGGGCGACGGCAGCCCTCTGGAGCTGCCAGCACAGGCTCCAGGAGGCAGAGAGCCCAGCAGGAGTCGGAGATGAGCAGCAGTTCAAGAGAGCGATCCGTGAGCCCTGTGCTCTCAAAATACCTGTGAAGGGTGCTGACATGGAGCGGGGACTCAGCGGGAACCCTGCAAAGATACTCGGGCAGAGGCAGCTGGGGAGGGCTGCCCTCAGACCTGCTGGAAATCCCCTGTCTCAAGCTGCCCTCTCCTCGCATCGCTGAATTTCGGGTCATTGATGGGGGCAGAGCCAGAGGGGTCTGGAGCAGCCGGGTCAAAACTCTGTTGGTGCCAAGTGCTGTGGTGCTGGGGGCACCTGTGACCCCGAGGATGGGGGCTTTGAGCAAAGCTCCCCGCGGCTGAGCAGAGGCCAGCGGTGCCCGAGCAGCGTGGAGGGAGATGCCGTTAGAGGGCTCCCTTAGCCCGCAGCAGCTCCCACCGCCCCAACGAGCGAAGAAATACCAGTACTGCTGCCAGGTGGGCTTTTAGCTGGGGACAGTCCAGTGCCTTCAGCCCGCGGGAGGAGGAAGAGGGTGGTGGAGATGCCCAGGACACTGGAGGGGAGCCAGGATTAGGCAGTGGGAGAGAGCAGCACTGCAACGCGTGGCTCTTGGGCAGGCACCAAGGCACGCCGCCCATCGCCCGGGCTCAGGAGCAGGCAGGAGTGCTCACCCCGGGCAGGGTTGGGGCAAGGCAGCGCTGCCCACGCTGCCTGCATCCCTCAGGGCTGTCCCCTCCCCACGCCACCCACCTCACGACATGACACTGGGCACACGCACGTCCCACCATGCAACACCCTGGACCAGACGCGGCACTTACATCTGGTCCCCGGGGCCCCGCTGCTCCTCGGGGGCCGGGAAAGCCCTGCAAGCCGACCTGGCCCCGAATCCCTGGGGGCCCTTTTGCTCCTTGTGCTCCACGTGGACCCTTGGAGGAATAAGACACAGCATGTCACAGCAGGGCTTGCAAACAAGAGGGACAGCCAGTGCCTGGGGCTCCCCCGCCCACGGGCAGGAACCCCCCAGACAGCCCATCGCTTGCTGCCCTGGCTCTCTGCACACCCGGCCTTTGGCATGAGGCCACTCTGGGTGAACACCCCACAACCCTCCTCCGAGAGCATCCCTGGGGCACCAACAATGGGGCAATATAACATTTTTAAACAGCCAAAGCAAGACGGAGCAGGGAAGGATGGATCAGGGGCGGCAGCGTGGTGGGATCAAGCACAGCCTGAGCTACCCGGCTCTCACAGGCCCCGAAAGCAAATGCCCCTGGGTCCCTGGACATCCACAGAAACTCATCCACTACCTGGAAAATGGCACATATGAACAACAAAAGAGAAAGCAGCTTGAGGAATCCCCCCGCAAGCCTGGGTACGTGGTACCTTGTCTCCTTTGGCTCCCAGGTCTCCCTTGGCTCCACCCGGACCTCGACAGCCCTGCAGGAGCAGCAGAGGTGGAGGATACACTCAGGAAACCATGTTATGCCACTCTTTGCAACCAAAGCATGCCGTGATCTGATTTTAGCATCAAAGAAAGTTAGTTTTGCCCAACTTAGATCACGGCTTTCCTCCCGATGGGCCTTTCGGAGCTGGGAGCAGGTACATACTGGATCTGCTCCTCATGGCGGTGGGGCTCCAGAGCTTCTGGGTTCATTCACCACCAAACCGTTAGTGCCCCCAGCACCCCATGCCAATCCTACCCCCAGCTCCCTGGCAGGTAGGATGCCTGCAGCAGCTGGTGGTGGCATCCCAGCTGCACCGTCCTGATGCCAGCACGATGCTGAGCACCTTGTCCTCATTACCGTGTCCCTTAACACATGCTAAAGCACTCCCACTTCCCTTGCCGCCTCCCCAAAGCAGACAATATCTTAGGACAAACAGTCGTGTCTGAAAGCTCCTCTTATTAGAGCAAGGCAAGCCCAAGTGCAGCTCTGCCTTCCCAAACGACTGCATTTGCCACCTATTCAACCGTCAAGTCCAAACACAGGCAAAGAACATGAAGCTGGTGCTTTGGGCTGCTCTAACGCGCGGCTCTCCTGCATCCCAAGCAGGGTTGGCATGGGTGCCAATCACTCACCCGCTCTCCTTGGGTGCCTTTTGAACCTGGCAGGCCAATAAACCCCTTCAGAGAGAGACACAAAATGCAAGTTAAAAAAAAAAGAACCACAAAGGAAAATATTGCATGCACTCATGGAGGCTGACAACCCTCCCACGCTATGGGGACGGGAAGACGCTGATAAATGGGAGACATCAGTTGAGCTCTGCAGAGTTACTGCTGCTGATGCCACGGTGGGATTTGCACCCCAACAGGGACCAGGGGATGCATAAGCCCTCCCAAGTCTGCCCCCGCCCACACAGCAGCCCCCAGCATGAGGACAAGGTCCTTGTTAGCCTCCAAAATGCACCACCCACATCCCACCCCGCATCCCTCATCCCTTTTGCAAGCACCAGTTTTCAGCTCTGCGTGTCGGGGTTTTGGCACATGAGAAGCAAATGCACCAAGGGTTGTGGTCAGCTGGGACACCGTGGGTCAGGCAGGAGGAAGGCCAGGCTGCCCTGGCCTCCTCACCCTTTGGAAAGGGCAGCTCAGCACCCAAACCCCTTGGGAAAAGGGGTGCACCTAATCGCGCACCAGGGAAGGGATAGGCAGGGCTGGGGCTGAGGCATCTCTGCTGATAAATCCATAGGGAAAAAAAAAATCAAGGCCCCTGCAAGCAGTAGAGTCAGAGGAGCTTTGGAGTTTGGAGATAAGGAGCGTGGCCATAGGGACGCGGCCATCATCCCCACCAGCCCTTGTGCCACAAACACCGTGGGAAGCTGGGGGTGGCAGGGGGGAGCAGGGCATTCCCCCGCAGTGCTTCGGGGGGCTGCAAGGGGGAGGATGAGAGCACCCCGCACCCAGCCACCCGCTCCCATGGACTTACCCCAGGGCCCTCCTGTCCCGGCTGTCCCCTCAGCCCGGGGGCACCGTCTGCACCCTGCAAGGGGAGTGCTGGCATCAGCTCGTGCCGTGCTGGGCAGAGAGGGCCCAGCCCCACCGTGTCCCCTCCCCAGGACTGCCAGGGACCTCCAGGGTTCATTTGCGAGGTCCGCTGCAAGCGCTAACCCCCTCTCCCCTCCAAAAGCAAGGGCAGGGACGCCTCACCCCACCTCTCAGGTCCCTCTGAGGAAAGCCCTCAAGCCTGGGCTTCATCCCCACCAAGGTCAAAGCAAGCCAGCAAGAAGCTCTTACGGTGTCTCCTTTGGGACCAGCGGATCCCTCCATCCCAGCTGGGCCCTGGGGAAAAGCAAAGGTGGTGGGAGGTTTGGGAGAATAGGGATGCTGCTCACTGTCCTGCTCTGCGGATGAGACCCCAGCCCATAGGAACCCTGCCCGGCCCTCCAGGAGCTGCACGTCACGCCCCAGGGACCATGTCCCCATCAGCTCACCCTTCCCTTCGCCCCCGTGCCTGCACGTCCTGCCCAGAGCAGGGGCTGCAGCCAGCAGCCTGCCCTCGGGACACGGCCCTTCCCACCCACCCACTCCCACCCACTCCTGGGTGGTCATAAAGACCCACAGGGTCAAGGACTTCATGCTCATTTGCAAAGCACATGGGGGACAAGTCCCAGCCGCTCCTTCCTTGCTCAGCAAGCGCATGGCGAGGGGACCCACACCTCGGAGACATGGTGGGCTCTGAGCCAGGACAGCACCCGCTTACCTGCATGCCCCTGGGGCCGGGGGGGCCGCGTCTCCCCTGCAAGCCCTGCGGTCCCTGCAAAGCAGCGGGGGACGAGGAGCTGCTGTTAGAATCAAAGCCCTGCACACATCGTGCAAAGCCTGCGGTGCAAAACCTCTCCTGGGAAATACCGCACTGCTGAGGAGTTCCAGGGCTCCCAGCCGGCTGGTGCGAGGGGACCCCCCCACCACTGCAAGGGATACAGAAAGGATTCCCACCCCCATCTCAGCCTCTTTGCAGATTTTGGGGTGGGCTGAGATCACAGCCCAGCTGGAGGAGACCCCCCTCCGGGCTGGGTGACCCTCGGGACACCCTCCCATCCCAGCACCCCCACCAGCTGTCCCAAGACACCCCACCACCGTGAGGTTTTCTCATCCCTTGGTGCAGGCGTGTACTGACGTACCTTGGGGCCCCGGGGACCGGGCAAGCCAGGGGGGCCCATTTCTCCCTGGGGAGAGAGCAGGGAAGGGATGGGGTGAGTGCAGTGGCCAGAAAATCCCAAATAGCAAAGGAGGGGAACTGGGGCAGACCCACCTGAGAGCCATTGATGCCTTGGCATCCGACGGATCCCGGCTGGCCCGGCTCTCCCTGCAAGGCGAGAGCGTGCTCAGCCCTGCGGCCACGTGCACCATGCAGGAGGAGACGGGACGGGGCCCCCCTAGGCATCTCCCATGGCAGCAGAGGCAGCCCCGGGCTAGTGAGGATGCTGGGGGGGCTTTACTGGTGTGCGTGAGTTTTAACACCTTTTGTCCTTTTGCAATTTTTCCTCCCACTACCAGGAGGCTGCATTTTAAGCAGAGGCATCTTTTTCAGGTGTAAATCAGCACAAGGGATGAAACGCGGCAGGACATCGCGGCACGTCCCAGCCTGCCCGTGGTGGTCCTGCCTCGCTCTTGCTGCGAGCCAGATGGCAGCAGGTCCCCCAGCCCAGCCACCCCCTGCGTTTCAGCAGAAGTTTGGACCAAGAAGCTGTGACTTACCATGGGGCCGGCAGGCCCCGGGGGACCCGCTGAGCCACCTTCTCCCTGGAGCAGGAGAGAAAGGATGCCATTTTTCTAGTCTGTTTTGCTTTGATTCTCTCCTTTCAGTCTTCACATCCCAAATTCTCCCTTTTCTTCACATCAAGCATCAGCTACTTGATGTCCCTTTGAACAGCTACCTGGCCAGCCCCTGGCTCCCCGCCTGCCTTCGTGTTGGAAGGTGCTTCTTTTCACCACCACCAAAACATTTTAATTTTCCTTTTAAATCCTCTGCAAACTCTTCCCTGGCTGGGATGCCTCCCAAAGATGTGGCAGCAGTTAAGCTATCAGTGTGCCGAGAGCAGCATGGAAAAACCAAGGTGCTGTCAGCCTGGGATTCATCTCAGCTGAAGGTGGTCACCTAAAATAAACTGTGGTGAAACGTGCTCTGCAAAGGCTCGTTTCTCTTCATCGCCAGCCAGGAGGATGAGCTGGGATGCAAACGTCCATGTGGGAGATTTTGGAGGCGAGGGGAAGCTCCTGCCCCCAACAAGCAGAAGGACAACATGCCTGGTTGCTCTGGGGCAATATCCCCGTTAATAAAGAGCCACCTCCAGGACAAAGATACAGATGTAGTTTAGGTCCAGCTCTCGGAAAAAAAAAAACAAACCAAGGATTTTGTAAGAGCGAACCAGAAAGCAGTGCCAGTGACCTGCAAAGCCCAAGTCCTCCCTTCTTGGACCCATCTTTCCAGTGGGGAGCACCAGGCTCCTGCACCTCTTCGGGGAGGGCTGGTGACACAGAGAAAGCAAAACCACTCACCTCTGGCCCCATGGGGCCTTGGAAGCCCGTCACACCCTTCAGACCCGACATCCCCTGGGAGAGAAGCCAGGAGTGGGGTGTCAGCAAGGTGCCCACCCCAAGGTGCTCACCCCAAGGTGGCAGCTGCCTTTGTCCCATCCCTTGCAGGAGGGTCAGGGAAAACACAGAGACCACGAGGGCTTTGCCCAAAGCCAGGAGAACGTGGGCTGGAGCCAGGGACAGAGCTCGGGGCCATCGCAGAGAAGCAAAGGGGTCAGCCCAGGAGAGGGGATGGAGGGAAGGAGCAATCCCGGCATGGCAGGGTGCAAGACATCCCCAGCTTCCCCGTTAACTCACGTGAAGCCCAGCAGGACCTGGCAGACCATTTTCTCCCTTCACCCCCTGGAAAAGCCAAGAGCAGCCTGAGAGATGGGGGAGAGCATGACCTGGGGCTGGGGGGCCGTGGCAGGGAAGGATCAACCCCCTGCTCGACCCAGGCGGGGCTGTAAAGAGCAAGGAGAGACACCCTCACCTTCGCTCCCTTCTCTCCTTTCTCCCCAACCGGTCCAGGGTCACCCAAGAAACCCTGAAACGGGAACAACAAGGATATGTGAGCCCCAGCTGGACCATCAGGAGCTAAAACATGGCTGCTGTGCCCCAAAGGACTGTTGGTGTGCTGCAGGGGGATGGGGACCCTCAAGCTTGTGCTAAATGAGGCAGCCCCAGAAGAAAAGCCTAGCTGCTTGTCCCCAGCACGATGCCCCCCCATTGTGGCTACTCCGCTCCCATGTCCCAAGCTAGTGTTGCACCACGCCACACGCAACGGTGACACGGAGGTGTCCCAGCACCTGCAGGGCTGGGACGGGGCTCTCCACGGCAGCGCTGCACCGGGTGGCAGGGCCATGCCCATCGCCTGTGCCTTGGAGGATGCCATGGTGCCCTGAGCTGCACACAGCGGCAGCGGGGAAGAAAAAGAAAAGCTTCATGGGCCCGTGCGAGCGGTGCAAAGCTTCACGTGTCCACAGCTGCTGAGTGCTCAAGCACAGAGAGGTTGAGACCAAGGGCAAGAGATCCTCCATCTGGCTGCTGGGATGATGCTCACAGGCAAGAGGGTACGAAGTATGGGCCAGAAAAGGTATATGATAAACCTTGTGGGGTTGCTGCTTCAAAAAGAAGAAATTGGGTTTCAAACACCCCAGTATGATCAGACCTCGGAGGAGCCCAGCGTCTCCTGGGAAGCTCTAAATATTTTAGTTAACACTTGCCTTAAAAAGACTCGGGGGGTGGGGGAGGGGGGAAGGAAAAAAAAGGGCAACAAACCACTAGCATTCACTTTTTTATGGACATTTGATATCCTGGCTGAGAAACCGCTGGAACAGCCTGGAGAGGAACCACAGCAACATGCACTAGCAGCCCCCGCCGCCCCCGGGCTGGGGCAGCTCCGAGCACAGGGCACTCGGACGGCCGGAGGCTGAGCAGGCACAGCGGTGAGGGCGGCCGCCAGCCGGATCCCGCACGGCTGGAGGGCGGCAATTAGGGCATCCCACACCGTAACGCAACATCAGGCTGGCACATGCGTGCCAGCAGGCTGGGGGGACATGTGTGTGCCAGGCGCTGCTGGTGCAGTACCAGCGAAACCAGTAATGAAAAGCTCTTACTGCTTGGCATTAAGCGTACAGGCTGGGACTGGGGCTGGCACCGAATCGTGCCCACAGCACCAAGTGACTAAGCAAGTGAGAGCCAGCTTACCTCTTCTCCCTTCTCGCCAGCCAGCCCTCGGTCACCCTGGAAGCCCTGCAGTCCCTGGGGAGAGGGAGGAAGAAGCAGAGTGGGTGCTGAGGGGCTGCTCAGCGCCTCCCACCCATGTCCAGCTCCACTCCCCCCTCCCCACTGCGCCGGCAGCTGCTGCCTCCTGCCCACAGCCACCCTGGTGCAGACTCCCGGGGGGCTGCTGAGAGCCCCAAACCTCTCAGCGTGGTCCAGTCCCTGTCACCATCCTCCAAAAGCCCCCTGAGAAAGCTTCCAAGCCCAGGTGCGTTGCCCGTATTCCCCAGGGATCGCTGCCAGGGGTCTGGAAAAGGGCAGGGACCATCACACCACGAAGTGACCAGCTTCATAGCTTGAACACTATCCAGGCAGTCCGTAACTGCTCTCATTTCTTTCTCCCCCCCAGTTATTTTCTCCTGTCAAAGCAACTAGGAGGTTGAGATGCAGAAGAGCAGCCCAGCCCTCGTGCTCAGGCCCACCACAATGCAGGATCTGCAGCGCTTGGGTTATCCCAGCTGCACCTTAACGCACGTGTGTGAGGTTCTACAGCCCTTTTTTTTGGGAAACATGAACCTTGAGGCACTAATCCAGGACTGCCTGGGGTTGTAGGTTCAGGAGGAATATTTTAGTTAAAGGAGGCAAGCAAACATAAAGAGCAGCAGCATTAGGAGCCCCTTGTCTCCTGCTCAGGGCTTGGGGCTGCAGCTTCCCCACCCCAACGCTGGCCATGCCATGGTCCTGCCTGCCTGCCTGCTTGCCCATGGCTCACCTGTTCTCCCGGCAGCCCCCACGGCCCAGGTTTGCCATCCAGGCCAGGGAAGCCATCCGAGCCGGGGTAACCCGCACGTCCCGGCAAGCCCTGGAGCCCAGGTTCACCCTGGAGAGAAAAAAAGCAAGCATGGAAAATTAAAAAATCCACATCATTATGAAACCAATAGATTAAATGCTGAGCTCTGCCTGCCTCGTGCTTTTGCAGCAACGCCTGCTAAACGCCAAGTACCTCACAAGGAGACGGGGAGGGCTGGCAGGGGCAGAAGCTCTGTGCATCCAGGCGCTGCAAGGGTTGGGCATGTGGATCTGCCCAGGCTCTCTGACCGAAACCATGGGAGAGTCGCAACCAGCAGCCGTACAGCAAGAAACAAAGTGGAAGGTAGGGAAGAAGCAATGTGTTAAGAGAAGGTCAAGCGAAAGCCCTCTGCATCTGCTTCTTGGCCCTGGGGCTTATGCTCAAAGCCATTTCTGATGCTTTCCCACACGCAAGAGCCTGAGCAGATCCTCTAGATTGGGTATCACCAGCTAAAGCTTAGGGGCAGCTTTTTTTTGCCCCTCAGCTCACTGGCAATTCTGAATTAAGGCAGGACAAAGAGCAGTGTGGAACAAAGAGAAGACATTTCCCTTCAAATAGCTTTGATTGCTTGGATTTCTCAAAAATTTTGGAACATTTGGTCAAGTCCAAAAACTGGACTTTGTTTTAGTTTGTAAAGTCAGAGTTTGAAGGAAGGGCAGAAGGACACAGCTGCCTCAGTTACTTCTCAAGTGAAGGATCTGGCTGCGAAAATATAAAAGCTTGTTGTGGGGAGGTTTGCTTTTCCATCTCCCTCCCCCAAGGGCTTCAGCATTGCACAACCAGCCACGCACATCCCCCATGCATTAGTGGCCATGTATGCTGGGGGCACCCAGCCCAAAAGCCAGAATTTTTGCCCCATTCCACTTCTGGTCCCAGCTTTGGGGAATATTTATTGTTATTTGCAGTTTTGCAAGAAAGACACCTGGGCTGCGACACACCTCTGGCTGTGCTCTGTGGCAAGGGAGCCCGAGCAGATGGGCCAAATGCAAAACAGACCGTGGGCAAACCCAACCCAACCCAACCGTGTGCTCAGGGGCTGATGCAGGTGGATGAAATCCATCCTCCTCTTCCCTGCCCCTGCTCTCATCCGATCAGCCTCCCCCAGGCAGTGAGAGCAGGGAGCGGAGACCTGCTGGAGCCTGAACGGGCATCAAAGACCTCTTGGGCCAAGGTCTAGTAGAAACATGAACCTTAACAAAAGCCACCCCAGACTGGTCAAGAGCCGAGTCCAAAGTTGAGTTGAGTTTCCCTGTTGGAAACCTGCCACTCAAAGCCTTTGGCAGATGCCAAAGCAAGAGCAGGAGAGCAGGGGGCTGGGGACAGGGCTGCGGCCATGACACAGCCCCCTGAACTGAAGACATCAGGCTTGCAGATGGACTGTGATAGGCGGAAAAAATTTGCTCCTTTCCATTTCTGTGCTAATCCCTCCCTGAACTGCTGACTCTCCTCGCAGATCCTGTTTATGTGAAGACGGAGAATAACTTTGGCACCTTTTGGTTAAGCTACGCCAACAGACTCCAGTGTTTACGCTCAACCGGCTTAACACAGTCAGTGACACCTTCCAGATGCTGGCAGCTGGTAAAACACTATCCCTGGGGTGCGTCCCTGCTGCTAGGGAGTGGGGCCGGGGGTGACAGGACATCTGGCAGCAGGACGTGTGATAGAGAGCAGACACACAGCGTCTGATGGCATAGCTGCGTTTCTTGCCCATGATATCAACTCCAACTTTTGCCACGAGCTTTTGGGACTCACAAGTTCAACACAGCTGCCAGGAACCAGCCTGTGTCCCGCTTGCCAGCCCGTCCAAATCCTCCTTCAGCATTGATCCATGTAAGCCCAGCCTGTCCTTGGCTCCTCTTCTCAAGCCAGAGGAGAAGCCACCCCAGTTTTGGAAAGGAAGACTGTCCTGGTTTCGGCTGGGACAGAGTTAATTTCCTTCCTAGTAGCTGGTACAGTGCTGTGTTTTGGATTTAGGATGAGAATAATGTTGATAACACACCGATGGTCTAGTTGTTGCTGAGCAGTGCTTACACTAGTCAAGG